AGTAAATGGTGTCAATAAAAATACGCTTGAGTTGGAATCTGTAAAAACCCAGAAACTCCTCTGAAACTCACGTTTCTTTGATACAGAGTTTGCACAATACCTCATTGGTATCGGATATGGGTTCGGAGCATCGGCGGCATACCGGACGACTGCAGTTGGCACAGACACGACGCGGTTGGAATAACAGAATGAATTTCTGGCCACAAAGCAAGCAATTGGTTGATTCTGCGAGGGCATTTTGGCTTTTCTCCGCGAGTTCACGATCTCTTCGAAGAATACTGGAGCGGCACCGTCTGAACCGGGTCAGGGGAGAGAGAAAGAATGAGATAAGCACCACATCCCAAAACAAGGCAATGGGGGAAAAGAAAATTTAATTATGCAAGCTGGGGGAATGTCAACTGTTAGCGAAAGTCCCGCACTCAAATATTCATTCATATACCACAGGTTCCGTGCGAGGAGACATGAGAAATAGTAATCGTTTTCAATGGTTAAGCACTTTAAAGAGTGTAAGGATAACAAGAAAGGAGATGTTATCTACTCTTAAAAATGCGGAGTAATTCGGTGTACATCTGACGACGTAGAGGTTTCAAATGCGAGCGTCTTCTTGGACATAGCTGTGTGATTGGATGTTGTTTTTCCGATCTTTCAGTATCTTGTAAGTTGTTTCGTTGCGTGCTCTCACCCCTCCCTGAATGACTTATCGGGTACGTAGAAGAGTATTTTTTTATTGTGCATCAGATTTTCGGTGTATGAGTAACGTTTGCGATCACTGTATCCAGCCTCGTGTTCTTTTAAACGGTCAAACGATGGGCTTAGATTTCACAATAAATCAGAAATAGATAACAAATTGCTTCCTTGAGAAAATCAACTGCATCTAGGAGCTTCCATTCACTTCTGCATTGATATTTCCCACTATTTGCCAACTAGAAGGAGTCTATCTGTCAGATATGCAGAAATATTGCTCCATGGTTTCTTTCTTCACGAGTGGTGCACCATACGCGCCCATTAATCAATCGTGATTATGTGATCCTCGTACGTATTTTAAGTGATGAGAGAGGGAAGATCTTCGGAAATGATGCTTCCTCAGAAAGGAAAACTGTCCTTAGCACATTCAATTCAAAATACGTGTGTGTTCCGGGTCTATCGCATTTGTTTGCGAAATAATTTTGTTTCAATTCGCCTGTTTCATCTGATAATGCATGATAAATACATCCTTAATTAGGCTGCAATCTCGGATTCTGGTTTTCTTTTTGATTGTATTTTTTTCGGCTTATCAAATAAGGTTAAAATGCTTTGACTTAATCCGCAATGTGGCAAACCAGAAGCCAGTGGAAAAAAAACAAGCATGGGGATTTATCGTGGGAAATTTCTGTTCATCGAAGCAGCTGGAGAAAGGGGTGTTGCAGCACTGAACGGGAGAATTCAGTGAGCAGTCCTCACGCACGTTCTTCCTCTCGAGGGGGATCAATTTGTTTCATTTTCAGGGTGGACAATATAATCGCAATTTTCTATCCTGCGGGTTGAACATCTCGACAACTATGAGATCCAGTTAGCTAGACCATATTTCTTTGAGTTGAAATCGAGCGCTGTTTCTGATAGACGATATTTTTCGCGTAACCAAATTCTAAAGGATTGTACCGAAAATTGTGAACAGTCGGAAAAATAATGTGGTTCCCCAAAGACTACATGACAAAAATATGCAACTTGCAACGGACTCCATTCATGAGAACACAAATTGGCAAACAAGCTCATTTCTAGTGTATCTTAATCATGCCATTACAACACAAGAAATATCATCACTACTTTCCAACGTCAAGCGAATCCGTTGTAATTCAAGTGAATCCGCCGTAACTTCAAGTGAATCCGACCAATCGCATTCCATGGAATCCCAAAGGATGATTGGTGGTTCGGTCGACAAACGTCATCGGGTCTTTCTAAATCTCATCCAGTCCCAATGAACTAATTTCTTCGTAAACAAAGAAAAGTACTTTTCAGTGAGTTACCGAGCCCGGATGAAAGTTTCGGTGGGATGGAGTGGGCCGAACTCAACATCCTCCGCCGGCGTCCCCCACCCCGGATCTCTATGTCCCTTATCGTTGATACAGTGTGTCAAAGACGCGAATGAACGACCCCGCTGTTAATTGACCTCTGTCGGTCGGATAAGGGAGCGAATCACGTCAAGATGGATCGATAAATCGGTCACCATGCTCAGACGTGAATGTTCGGATGATTCATTGCATGGCTATGGCTAGAATGCGAAACCGCACGTCTCTAGACAATCCTATTTTAACTCTATACAGGAGGCGGGATGCTTCGTTCAAGTTTACAATGTGATTAGTGTCGACAAAGTGCTACACGGTCGCACTTGTATTTGACTTAATTGCTCCACTTCTCAACCACACAGATATTCACGGACGCCTGGTCGTGCGTCCAACATACTTTGCTTCATAGGAGTAACTGAAAGGTTAAATAAAGAAAGAGACAGCAGAATCGGACACTGTCCTTCAACCGTAGATACACCAGTGGGCTACATGTGAATCGAGTTAGAAGCTTATCCGCGTAGAACGTTTTGTTGATTACACTTGACAGCCTTCTATGTACGATNATGTACGATCTCTGCCAATGTGTCACCTGTAAATGGTAAAGAAATGTACACAGACTTCTCCTCAGCGAGTGCCGCCTTGGAAAACGCCACTTGTCGTCACATCACAGATCTCACCAAGCGCTGCGGGTATCATTTCTGGAGTTCTTCAACCAGCATATCCTTCTTGCAAACTCTTCTAGCTGTATTGGCCAAACAGAGTATGAGATTCTTCTTCACACCGGTAAAAAGCTACGGAAATGAATGTCCTGCCTGTTCCACGTTACCTTCCTGTGTACTGACCGCCTGATGGACCTCTCATCACGAGTTAGACAAACATCTAAAAATGTTAGTTGATTGTTGGCTTCATTTTCAACCATGAATTTGAAATTTCGATGTGCAGCATTGAAATGATCCATTCACCGTTCCAATAAATCATAATTACACAGTAAGAAACACACAGTAGCTGACATTCTGATTTGTGGTGATTCCACTACAGGCCAATACATCACAATTTATATCAAACTGTTTTGTATTGGGGAGAAATCATGTCGATTAAGAACAGAAGTAATAAGGATTCCAGTTCCATAAGCGGAT